TCACTTACTGCTCGATGCCTCACGATGTGCCTCTCTGGTAAGGTTGTAGTCAGTGCTGTGCGGGAGAGCAGCGGCGAGTCAGCGCTGGTCCGGTGGGTGGAGCTCCAGGTGGGGTCCTAATTTAGCTGGCCGGCGACTGCCAGAGGTGCCGCGCGTGTCGGGATCCTCTGGCAGTCGCCGGCCAGCTAAATTAGGACTCCACCTGGAGCTCCTCCCACCGGACCAGCGCTGACTCGACGCTGCTCTCCCGCACTGAAGGTAAGTGTACCAAGCAATCGCACCTGTCGCACGTTCTGGTGCATCGCGTTGCTATTTATTTGAATGGCACCCCAAATGCACCTCCTGCCCACAGTTTGTTCACCTGCACCGGAATGTGCGTTACCGCAATGCTGTGCGTTCCAGTGCAGTGCAACTTAGGTCGCGACTTAATGACCAAGGACAAATGTGGGTCCTGAGATTACACAGGTTGAGAACCAGTGGTTTACACCATAATATGAATGCAGCGCATTTTATAGGGAAACCTGCCACAGCCGTCCTTATGAGTGTGATTAAAACATCAGCTACATTGTTCCTGGTCCTCAGCATACTGCTGCGTCTTTGGATTTCCACTCACAGACTGATCCTGGACATGGTCAGCAGTAACACCAGTGCCACCTACTGCACACTATTAGATAGTACTGGAGCAAGGAAACCTTATAGTAACACATTGACTATAATGAATGAAACACTTCTGAGATAAACCGTAACCCATAGGACTACATTAAATAGAATATTTGTTTTAGTGGACGTTACAATCATTAACATAAACATGAAGTCCAAGAAGACATCTAAATAGATAGTCACGGTGCATATATGACTTTGTAATAGTTGTAAGCTTGTACCACCCATCTGTTTTAACCCAGACTCCCCTGACACACTATACGCAGGTCCTGAGATCTAACCTGGCCAAGGAATCAGCTCTTAGCGTGCTAATGGACAACTGAGAAGCAGCAGCTGATTGGCTCAGAGTCCCTCCCCTAATGTTTATGCTGATATACAGAGGATTATGGGAAGCTGATATAGGCAGATGTATGGACTTATGCTATGTGTTTTTAAAAATGCATATCAAGATTATAAATAAATATACACAAATTGATTCAATTGCGCTTCTTTATTTGTCTAGAATTCAGCTTTTATTGCAATGCAACTGTCACCTCTGTGGGGAAGAGGAAGTCACTGCCTTGTGTAATAGAACACAAGCTACCAGTATAGGGTGGAGAATGTTTTTGCTTTATACTATAGTATTCTTGGCACCTCTACAGGCAGTGATTGGCACATTTTATAGTTCATGTCACCTCTGTAAGGTGGAGGCAGCCATTGTCTCATATGATAGCATATGTCCCCTCTGTAAGGTGGAGGCAGCCATTGCCTCAAATGATAATACATGTGTCACCTCTGTAAGGTGGAGGCAGCCACTGCCTCATATGATAGTACATATGTCACCTCTGTAAGGTGGAGGCAGCCATTCCCTCATATGATAGTACATATGTCACCTCTGTAAGGTGGAGGCAGCCACTGCCTCATATGATAGTACATATGTCACCTCTGTTATGTGGAAGCAGCCATTGTTTCGTATAATACTACATATGTCACCTCTGTAAGGTGGAGGCAGCCATTCCCTCATATGATAGTACATATGTCACCTCTGTAAGGTGGAGAGGCAGCTACTGCCTCATATGACAGTACATACTGTATGTCACCTCTGTTATGTGGAAGCAGCCATTGTTTCGTATAATACTACATATGTCACCATTCCCACATTTCCACATTTACAGCTAAAGGCATCAGATGCCTCATAATACAGAACATCTTCCACCTATATAAAAGCAGCTGTTGCTTCATAGTACATATGTCACCTCTGTAGGCTGTAGAAGCGTATATTACTGTATAATGGACCTGCCAACTCTGGGGTGCGGAGGTGCCCTCCGTGCCAGTTTAATAACTAGGTACAAATGGCAAGATTGCAGATGATCATTGTTTTTCTATTTATTTATTGGTAGTTTAACAATATTTACTTGATAAGAAATCTTCCTACTTAAACAATGTAGAAATATACTCTGAGTGGCCAGATTATTATGACCACCTGACGTTTGTAGGCAAATTAGCTATAATTAGCTATAATTTCGCTCTGAAGTTGCGAGAGGGCCAGACCATTATAAATAGGGAAGCAGGTTGTTTACCACGACAGTAGAAGTGATTTTTTTTCTGAAGATACGGGTAAACAACACGATTTAACAGCATTTGAACATGGGATGATTGTTGGCGCTCGGAGCCATGGAGCGAGTATCAGCAAAGCAGCTGAATTTGTTAAATGTTCAAGAGGGGCTCATTCCGAATCGCCCCCACCTGAACTGCTCCCTGCGCTATTTTTGACACAGTGATCAGTGCGGTTTTCATACAGCTTTCAATTGCGCTGAAACGCAATTAAAAACTCTCAAAACCTCCCTTTTGAAATCAGCGCAGGAACCGCGCTGATCCGCAGCCGCCCTGGTGTGAATGGGCTCTAAAAGTCAGGATACATACCAAGTATTTGAGTGTTGAGTAATAGGTTTAGGATCTTATGTTTTTCATTTAGAATATCGGAATGTTCTAACAGTAAATCATTAGATCGTAAACTTTAATCAACTCAATCATTATAATCAACCTAAACCTCTTTCTGTTATATTGCATTGTAACTGTGCTGTCTACTTTTATATTATAAAGCACTGTGCAAACTGTTGGCTCTATATAAATCCTGTATTATTATTATAATAATAACAACAACAATAATAATATTCATAATAACAACAATAATAATAATATTCATAATAACAATAATAAAAATAATAATAATAATATTATAGCTGTAGCAGAGTTTACTATGGTGTGAAAACTGCAGAAACTGCCATCCCCGTTTCACCAAAAAATCCAGCATACATAAATTATCTAATAATATATATTAAGAAGCAACATTTTTCCTTATTTATTATATCTTACAAAACGGACGCTACTACATTATTAACCTTGCCTGAAAAGTAAATTAGTTTGGCTAAAGCTATAGTTTTTTGTTGTTGTTGTTGCATTTAATTTCTATGTTCTTCCTAACTGACAGGTATGTTATACTGAAGGCGTTGTATCCTTAAAGTAAATTGAGATGGGATTTTTAATGATAAAAATATTTTTTTTTCTTAGTCACTATATGGGTTAAGGAGAGATATCCTGGGGTCGGGGAGGTTTAGGACCCAGCAAGCACACTCTCAATAGGTTAGGATTTAGGAAAGGAGGGGGGAGGTTGGTGAAGGGTTGTTGTGGAGAGGCTGTCAGGGAGTGTGTGAGAGTGTGTGTGTGTTTGGGGGGGGCGGGAGTGACTGCAGTGGGTAGTGTCAGCTAACTATTCACACCATCAGAGGGAGATATTTAACTTGCATTGGAGTGGAGAGCAGAGCACATTAAGGAGTGAGTAGCACAAGGAAAGGGTCATTCTACTGCAAGCTCTGCACTGAGAAGGTTGACAAGCAGGTTCAGAAGAGAGGACCCTGAAAAGCACCTGTCCTGGAGATCCAACCTTAAAACAGAGGCATCACAGTGGACACTTGTTGACCATCTTTCCTGGTACCTTCTGCATTGCAACCTGCTGCTCACCAGCTCCCATCTGGCCACTGCAGAGGGACAGACAACCAGACCCTGGGGCCATCCACCAGGCAAGCGGAATGGTGTAGACGATGCCTGAACTGTGAAGGACATCTGGATATAACATTTGTTTTAGCAATGTGATACCACAAAGTATCTTTTTATCTCTGCACCCACATATATTGCAATACAGAAGGTGGGAGTGGTGGGGGTGCCTTGATCAGCGTGCCTCCCAAGAAGCAACATCTAATTTGCACCCAAAAAACATTCTTTTCCCAGCCAGAGGATAAAGAAAGGAGCTTTGCTCTAAAGAAAACTGCCCTTCACACTCACAGCTCCATGTGCTTGCTGTCTCGCTGCTCTCTGTGTCTTTTCATTTGCCTTTAAAAAAAAAGGGGACTTGCTACCCTCCATACAAAAGGCTGCAGCCAGAGGAATTGTGACAAAACTCTTATTCTCCCGCAGCACAATCCTTGGATGAGCAAATCTCTGTGCAACAGCTCACGTTCCAAAAAAAAAAAAAGGATTCATTTAAAATTAGGAGGGAGAAGGTCAAAAACATAATTGAGGATGAAGCCTACTGCCTGCGCAGGTCTGCAGGGATTTTGGAACTGTCTTAATCGCAAGGGCACTTCAATCTTCTTACTTTGAGGATCTGTATTCTTTTTTTTTTCAGGATTTTATTCTATATATATTTTAACTTGCTGCACACCGAGATTCGAGACGCATGGAAACTCAATGTTTTGGATAAGCTACCAGCCTACATATCTGCCTATAATTTTCCCCAATTGAAAGGATTAATTTTAATTATTTTTAAACCATTGGCTCCTGTCTCGGAGCAGACTGTATTGCAGAGTCTAGACAAGTTGTCCTGGATGTCACCATGGGGATGGAGCCTATTCCTCTGTGAATTTTTATATCCCGCGAGCCAGCTCCTGCACAGGAATAAGAAAGCGTGGAGGGGGGGCAACCCAAAAACTTGGAGGAAGGGGTAAATTAAAAATCTTTGCCTTCCTTGTGTGGTTCACCCTGCTGACAGACACAGCTACTTCTCTGTGAGAAACTTCCTGGCTCCACAAGGCTGCAGATCACATACAGTATATCCATCTGTGTGTGTGTGTCACACACTGCTGATCTATTTAAAGCATCTTCTCCGGACTTTGTGTCTATTTCTGAGCTCTGCTACACGGGCCAAGGAGAGAATATAAGCTATTTGGTGAAAAAGCGTTTAGTAAAACTCATGTGCTCGCCTGCATTCTGATACCTTCCTCTGGATTACTATCTTTTTCTTTTCTTTTTTTCTCTGGTTTACTTTTTGACATCTAAAAGTCGTTTGATTAAACCACGTGGGAGGGGGGTGGGAGAACCTTGTTCGTCTTTGAAGGGGGTTTAACATCATGAAGAGGATCAATCTCCCTCAGGCAGTTTTGCTTTGCTCCTGCTTGGTTTTAGTTCACCATCAGGGGTCCTGCCAACCTTTCCTCAGGTTCAGACCCTCTCCCAGTGGAGAGTTACCCGTCTTACCTGTCATTGAGCAGCCTGACCCAGAGCAGGACCCAAAGGAGCAGGACCTGGATGAGAGGACACTGAGAAAGAAACTTGGCAGCAACTTCGACCCCAATTTCATGGCGGTGGTCTTGCCCAACCTCGTTAATATGTCCACCCACGACTCACTGACAAAAACTAAAAACCTTGGCGCCCCGCCATTGGACTTGAAGAAGATGGACCTCAGTGAGGCACCTTATGGTGGAAGGATCAAGATGGGGAAGAAAGCCAGGAGAAAGTTCTTACAGTGGTTGTGGGCTTACACTTACTGCCCGGTACTTTACACTTGGAAAGACTTGGGGGTCAGGTTTTGGCCAAGGTTCATCAAGGAAGGACAATGCTTTTCAGAAAAGTCTTGCTCCTTGCCAGAGGGCATGTATTGCAGACCCCACAAGTCCGTCACCAAAATTTTCCTGAGGTGGCACTGCCAAGGCTGGTCAAGGCAGAGGTTCTGCACCTGGATCCCTTTCCAGTATCCAATATTATCAGAGTGTAAGTGCTCGTGTTAACTGCTGCTCATCAGTGAAAAGACATGAGGGCTGAATGAGCCACTGGTTAAACCTTGCACTTCCGAAGGACAAGTAACCTGGTGCTTTTTTTTTTTTTTTGCCATTGACACTGGGGAACTGGATAGTGAATACAACCACAGTTCGGGCTGGTTGACAGCAGAAAAACTTTGGAGGTGGGGGGGAGTGGACTCCCTTAACCCTTTCTGTACTTCCAGTGAAGTCACAGAATAAGGTATCCCTCAAGAGGCCAGACAAAAAAAAAATGAAAAGGAATTATTGCCATAAATTAATTTTTTTTTTCTCTTGGGATATTAATCATTTTATGAAGTATTAAGATGATAGAAAGTGTTATCTTCCCCGACCTTGCACTGTTGATAACTATAATTTGAGCTTTTAATTGGCTGCTGCTAATTATTCATATTATTATTATTATTATTATTGTATTATTGCTATGTATATTATTTTTAAAGCTTGATAAAAGCATCCGGAACTAAGCACCTCCAATCAGATGTTTTATTTTTATATGTAATATAGCTTTTTAACATAAATAAAAAAAAAACCATAAGAACAAAACAAAAAAAAAGGGAATCTAAATCCAAGTCACCAGCTTTTGTAAATAAATAGATTTTTTTTTAATGTAACACCGATGTAATTTTCTCTTTACTGTATTTTATTTTCAGAGGGTATCTGTAGTATATAAGATATGGACCATACTTCAAATCTGTCTCGCACTGCTCCTTTAACTTAACCCCTGCAATGCCATGGTGTTCTTCAGCGCCGTACATACACCCCACACGTTTCCCATAGCGGCCAATGGCAAAATCTGATCCACAGCACAAATAATGAGAAAGCTCATATGCAGATCTATCTAGGAATTTTATTATAAGAAAATAAATGAGAAATATAAATGACAGCAAAAGTATAGATGTTTTATAACAGAGTGGTATCTTTTTTCTTTTTTTTTCTTTCTGTACTATGAATAGACGTTTGGAAAGCAGATTTGATATCTTTGTATACTTTATTTATTTGTAAGGATTGCAAGCAAGGAATGCAAAAGAAAAACAAATGTGGTTATAATTGCAGAAAAACTATTGGTCGGCTATACTTGAAAGCTCCTTTTTTTTTTTCACGTGACAGGTTTAAACAAGAAGGGAAGTCACACTCGAGCAAGACAATTTAGGAGAAAATAAATATACAGTGGTTCAATTATTAATTCTTGGTGTCCTTTATTTAATATGACTGTTCGGCATAACTCATAACGAGTGAAATGGCATCATTGATATCACACTTTGTTTACTTGGCTGAATAGTAAAGGGAGTTTTTTACTGGGAGAGGGATTATATAATTCTGGAAGCTGCTTCTCCTCATTAGACTTAATTTAATTAATGTATTAAGTGCAGCATATTAAGTATATTAAGTATTAAGTTGAACATATTAAGTATATTAAGTTGAACATATTAAGTATTAAGTGAAACAATGTGCTCTCATGATGAGCTCCGGTCTGGTCTCAAACATTAGGGAATTGTCTCGGTTGAAACAGCTAATTGCAATCAATGAAAATATTTGCCTTCTTTCCTTGCAATGCAAACATGGTGAATATTGTTCCTGACATACTGCTTGCAGAACAGAAAAGGGGAAACCTTTGCTGAATCATGGGAGCTATTTATTTTTTCTTGTTCAGACATGCTGACCTAGGTATGCTCAGTAAAAGTTATTTTATTTCAGAAATCGTACTAGGGTTACGTGGTAACCATGCTTAAAGCATATTTGTAATATATTGCAGCTTACCAGCCTTTAGATGTGGTTGAAGTTTTTTTATTCCTTTTTTTGCACCTGTTGATTCGGCCCATAACACAAATCCTGTCCTAGGGTGACAACGCGTCGCTCACTGTATCTATAGGTAAGCAACGTTGCCACCCTAGAACAGCTCCTCTCCTCTTCTCTTCTCTTCCATAGAGGGGAATGGGGTTTTGTGGTCCTTAGACATGACTGGGAACAATGTAACTGATAAGACTGCAGCACCAGCAAAGAGAACAGAAAGTTATGAGCTGACAACATTTTTGGCAGGATCAACAGGTACGTTTTTTTTTTGCACCTATAGAACAGGTGTAATAAAACATTTTTACTGGTATATTTAATGGACCAAAGGGGACCACGTTCATTGTGACGTTGCATAATCAGATCAGTTCATTGCTAAGTTGCATAATCAGATATTAGTGGCCATTGATCTATCTACATTACTCTGTGACGTGTGATTGGTAAGTACAGCCTGCGATAAAGAAATAGCTTTTGCAGCTTGTTATTAAAGAAGACTCCAGTTTTTTTAGTTTTTTTTAAATTTGCAAGTGAGAGACTGGAAAACGCAGAGCTGCTCCCCACAGACAATAGTCGGCCAGTGTAATAAGCCATTTAGATAGCACCAGGTCTGCTCACTATAAAACTATGGGGGTCTTACATCAAAGACTCTCACAAAGAAAACAGTTAAAAACTGCAGCAGATTTAATAGGTTGAAGGCAAAGGCTTTGAGAGAAGGTAAAGGATTTATTTTATTGAGAAATTGATTATATCCCAGTCTAGCCACTATAATTAGTTTTAACACGCCACAATAAAACAAATAGCCCTTTGACACGTAGGGTACGTCTGTAAAGCAACGGCAAAGCCCCTCTGGTGGGCAAGGAGTGGAATTCCGAGGGATCAAAGGGGAAGGACGTCTACGTACGCCAGTTATAATAGGTGTGTGAAGCACATTGTAACACGAATGCTAAAGGGCTACAAAATGGTGAAAAACATAAGTAGTACTACAAATATTAAAATATTGCAAGACATTAATGACCTTACCCCTACACAATAGTTTACTTACCTATTAATGACCAAGGAAGGAGCCCTACTTGCAATACATTTCCAAAGTTCAGATCTTTGTGCAGGCCTGTGGTGGACCCCAAAACAGGGCCAGATGATTAACATAGGGGCTACAGGAGTGCCAGCTCCAGGCCCACCACTGAAAATAGGCCCAACCTGCCCAGATTGCCAAGGTATGCCCGATGGCAAAACAGGCCAGCTAGACTGAACATAATCAGGCAGAGGTGCTAGTGGCTCACTAATCAGGCCTAATAGGCAGCTGCACGCTGGAGCATCGCAGGGCACCAGCTAGGAGCGAGCGACTACCTATTTAGCGAGCCGCCCCTGCTGCTTCCCATGCGACCGGGCAACAGCACCAGGCCTGTGATGCTCTTAAAATGGCCCTGCTGCCAAAGGCAAGGAGGGCTGACATTTCACTCTCAGGGATGGATCAATGTGATGTGAACAGAAAATTGGGCGCCAGTCACTTTAAGGACTTTTTAGATGCTTTATTAAAGAACAGCTAAACTGGGAGCGAGGGGATAGGGCTTCAGACGTCCATAGGCAGAAATAGACTCCAGACTCACCAATCCCTTCCACCTTCCACAGTGTAGAAATACTTTAGTTGTGCAGAGGATGACATTGTGCAGTACAACAGCAGCTGAATAGGGATGTGCATGAGATCTTCCCTGGGAGAGACTCCAGACTTGTTCTTGAGGTGCATGCCATCCTGGCCTTCCTGGCACCTCCAGTAGTTATAGGGCTCCACTGGTCTTCTTCCCAGATAGTTCCATACACCACGAGGGTCTACATGTGGCGTCTTCCAGACTTGAGGCCTAGTCAGCTTCTCCCACCTTGTACATTCCCACCCCCAGGCCAAGCCTGAGCACATGGCAATTCATGAGTATTTATGCACTTCGCCAGCATGCACCACTGGCCATGAAACGCCTAGTGATTGCCTGATGAGGCATAGACACTCCTAATGTTCCCCTATCGGCTGCCCCACTCTGTGGCAGGGTCACACCCCACCACAGGTAGGTACATAAAATAGCAGAACAGATAGAAATGACCAAATTATACAAGACTACAAGTCAGCCAGACTGATTACAGTGCTAGCAAAACTAAATTTAAATAGGTTGAAAAAGGCTACATCTATGCTTTAAAAAACATGTCCACGTGCAAGTACACATGCTCATATGCCTGCAAGGGCATCTAGTCTAGCATGCACACATTCATGTGATCTACAAAATTGGTGTGATCAGACCATTACTAAAAGCTGTGGTCAAGTAAATGTGCTGGGACGTGACCATGTCAATTGGTGATCAATGTCATCCACTGTTCCAGGTATTCTTCAGTGCTCTGAAGTGAATAGCCGAACAGTGTTCGGCTCACTTCACTTCTGATCGGTCATTCACTCAGCTGCCCTCGGCAGCTTTGTGAATAGACCCCATAGTCAGATAATCTCTGCTGGAGGGGAACATCAACCAATCTGAATTCTCATCCTTCCCTTGATCAGAGATCATGTGGCAAACACACTAGGTCTACACACGTGTTTCTAGCAGCACTCAACTGCAATCCAATAAAAAATCGGCCAAACATCAGCTCAATGTAGCTCAATGTAACTCGTCCAATGCATGTCAATGGAGCTGTTCACATCTCACAGCTCAATGTCGCCTGTAGCTTGTAGCTGAAGCTTGTCGCTTGAACATGACCTATTTTTCAGCGGATTAGCTGAATAGACTTCAACAGTGTAGCTCAATGTCGCACGAATTTGCACAACATTGCGCAACATTGTCGTGCTGCGTCGCGCTACAGAAGTGTCACTTTTGCGCAGAAATATAAGCGGGAACATAAGCAGGAAACAGGAAGAGGAATTATGTTACATCAAGAACACTTTTGATTGGCTACAGCCCAATGTAGCAGCTACGAAGTCCATGCCAAAAGTAGCGCTACGTAGCACGACAATATGTTCAATGTAGCTCAATGACTTTCGAATTCGCTCAGCTCAAATCAGCGCTAACAAATCGCTTTTTCTGATGTAGCTCAGTGTGAATAGGGGCTAAATGAAAAGCAACCAATCAAAAGTGCAAATCCCGTGATAGACTTGATAGACTTCAGTATATCTTCAAGAAAGCCAAAAACCTAGTGCTGGCTGGAGGTGCACTGTTTTACCTTGTCAGCGGGTGGACTGAATTGTGCCTTGTTACCTGGGTACCATTTTCAATCTGGCTATCAATATTCACCTTGGCTGCCTGTGTAGACCAACTCAGCATGGCCACACATCCCATACTGCTGGAGGTACGAGAAATGCTGTGTACTCTGTCTATTGCAC